GTTGGGAGTGCCTACACTCCCAAAAACAAGAGCCAACCAATCACGGGGGACCACGTGCGTTTTTCTCTACTGCGCTGTCATCTTAATCGTGGCGCCTCTCCATGGGCTTTTCCTCTCGGGCCTGATCGATCTGCATATTCGAATTATCGACCGACTGGTCTGGACTATTCTTCCCGAAGGGCATTGGGCCGAATGCCGGCGAAGCACAGTACAGCGTTATAAATATGCACTACTTCCAGTTAATTTTGATTTGCAATTCCCTAATACACATTTTCGTGGCCGGTCGTGTTCTCCTTCTCTGCCGCGTTGGTGTTGGGGACAAGGGTCGAGTGCGTATACGCTCCACGGGATTCCAAGTACCAAGCTGGTCATAACAGAGACGAAGACGGTGCGTCGAGCGTCGTGGCTCGGAAGGCAGCCGACTGGCGCCCCAACTCAGTCCACGCAGTCTGCCCAGTTGTATGTGTGTGTTGTGTAGAGTGGCTGAGAGTCAGACTGTCACGACCCCTTCTCAAACGATCTGTGATGCTCTCATGCATGTGAGGAGAGTGTGTGTACTTTATGGGTAGTGCCTCTCAGTCGACGGCCGTTTGGTTACCAAACCTTGAAGGGTGACGGCCCAGGCTATATGCGGGACCACGTGTCGCTCGTCTAGGTCAAAAGGTCTGTAAGCGTGTGCTACGCCAGTATCAGCAAACCATGGCCCTCGCAGTCTGGCGCGCACTGGCAGTTCCCTGACACCTGGTTCCCTGCCGGTAGATGCGCTTGCACTCCCGCTAGGTATACAGGTGGTGGGCATGGCTGCCTAGTCATCATCCTCGTCCTTCTGACTCCTGTTGGTGTGTTGTTGTTGTAGGTTGAAAATCCTGGTGAAGTGTATGTTGTGGACCAGGGTGTGTGGTGGTACGCTTAGGTGCAAGTTAGGCCGTGCCAGCCACCCGCACCCTCCCCCGCCTCCCGTTTTCTCGAGCAAACGCGCAAGTCACCGTGCCAGCCTCACCTTTTAGTGGAGCACACGGTAGACATCTTCTGAAACGATGGTCATGATAGCCAGGCTGTCACGACTCCTTCTTAAGTGATCTGTAGCATTCTCGCGCATGTGAGGAGTGTGTGTGTATGCTTTATGAGTAGTGTCTCTCAGTCGATGAATGCTTGGCTACCCAACCTTGAAGGATGACGACTCAGGCAAATGCAGTGTCATGCGTCACCCATCTGGGAGTCTAGGGGTCTGTAGGCGTCTACGCTGTGCTACGATCAACAAACCATGACCCTTTCAGTCTGGTATGCGCTGACATTACTCTGGTACCCGTTTCCCGACCGGTAGATGTGCTTGTGCCCCTGCTGAGTATACAGGTCGTGAGAATGACTGTCCAGTCATCCTCGTGCTTCTGACCCATTCTAGTGTTGTTGTTGGTTAAAATTCTGGTCAGTTGTTGCGTGAAGTGGAGCGCCAAGTTGCGGACCCGGCTGCGCCTTCCCCCCGCCTCCGGTCTTCTTGACGCTGTTTTGGCACCGGGTCCAGGTGGGGGTGTAGTGCGGTAGAGATGCCGCGCAAGTCACCGTGCCTGTTCCACCTCGTTGTGAAGTACACTGCGCACATCGTCGGAAACGACGGCCGAACCGTCGTGTGTGTGTGTGCGGGCAGTTGTCCTCGTGCGCAGTCAGGGAAGACGGCGTGTTCCCCGAAGTTTTGGATTCTCGCTTGAATCCATCATCAGAGTCAGGATCAGATAGGAGTAATACTTTTCACAAGTGATACAGTATTTGCAGGGTGCATTTTTTCTGCCACTGCGTGCCCCTTATCAGAGTTGGTAGCCCCCCGGCATTCATCGCAGATGGTAACATGATTGCCCGCGGTCGAGTCATTGATCGTCGAAGTCTCACCACTCGTGTGGGTTCTTAAGCGATGTGGCTTGCCAACGCACTGGTACTTGGAGCAATGCTCGCCCGCGTGGCTAATTACTCGGCATAAAATATGGGACTAGAAGGTCATTGCGCTTGTTAATCTCCCGATGATGGACTCGAATGCGAGCCCGAAACGTTGGCCAGTAAGGCCCTTATTTCTGTGATCGTTCCTATCGACTGCTTCCTGGAACCCGCCTCTCCGTCTTTATCGGCAGGGTGTGCTCCCTCAACCGTGATCTATCTGAGGAGCGGTGGAATGAGGTACCAGTTATAGTACGTGACCTAACATGTGAAAGGTGTCAAAATTTACGGATTATTGCTAATCGCTTGCAAACCGACACCAATGCACAGACCCTATATTTACATTCTAAGGGAATGGAAAACATAAAAGAAATACAAAAGGTAATATTGCGTTTCTTAGAAATGCTAATTTTTATTCAGAAAAGCGGAACATTCCGAGAATATCGAATTCGATGATAATTTAGTACATTTCAGTTTCTGATGTACAGAAAGCCTGTTCGAGCAAAAACTGAGAAAATATGACAGTACAAATAGAATTATATCTGACAATAGTCTTTTGATGAAGTTTACATCTAAATATCCTGTGAGCATTAGTGATATGTCAGGTATAGCGGTTTTCAAACAATCCACGTTCTGAGTACAGATTGCAAACCATTTCCTGAGAATTCTTTGTACTTTCTACGCTTTTGCATTGGTCGAAATGCGGTTTAGCAGAGCAATTAGAATTTTTGTTGATTCCATCGATAGGGACGTCACAGAAATAAAATTTTTGACTGGGTCATATGTTGTTAGGTCGGTCGGTGACTAATAGATCTAGTAGGTTTAGCGGATGTAATCGCAAACAAGCCATTTTGTTTATGTAAAGAGAACTTTTCTTCCGTGAAATTGATCTGTACTTTTCCTTTGTCCTAGACTACGTTGATTTTCAGGCCGGCCTTGAAATATCGTTGAATGCTTCACGATTTTCAGTTTTTTTCCTATTGGTTGTTCTTAAAGCCAAATTTTATTTTATGCGTTTGATAAAATCTTCAAAATAAGATGTTTCTTGAATTTATTCGCCGAAGTAACGAGTGTTTTGACGTTCTTTTATGTGGATTGTCGTTTAGACTACATTTGATAGCTCACCAAAACATAAAACCTCATTGTCGGAAAAAGTGAACCGTCTGTGCAGCATGTTGCCAAAAAAATTGACACTTGGCCGTTTTCTTCACGTTGGTAAAAAAAGAAGTACTAGTATATTTTCTACTGTGAACGTAAAGCATGCTTTCCTCCTTATTCTGCGGCCATTTTCACTCTCTTTGATCACTTTAAGCTCCACTCCAGAACTACGAGTGCACGGCAGAGTGACCGTATGAATATCGATTTTGTGCCGAAATTTTAATGTTTTGCTTGTTCCGTTTCTAAATTACGTATTTGCAAAAGCTAGGCCGCACGAAAACTAGTGTTCCATATTTTCAAAACCTAAGATGACTATTCGGTGATAGTCTTTTCCGTGTCAACCCATGTAATTTTCCAAACGACAAAACAATGCCGGCCTATATAAACAGAGGGTTGCCTGTGTGCGTTATTACTGCACTGCATTCAGCAAATCTCACAGGTCTACTAATCTGACTTTTATAATTCGATAAAATATCTGCTTCTTCTGAAATAACCTGTGTCTCTGCGAACTGATTCCCACGGTTAACGTCAAATAAAAAACCGATTTCCACTTGTAGCAAGTTCTGTTTACTAGAACTCTTGTGGGTAAACTACTCTCCTCTCAAAGAAAAACACGCTCGGGTACGTAATCGAAGTCTAGGACAGGCACTAGCATAGGAATTTGCGGGAATATATCGCAAGGTGCATTTTCGCTCAAATTTATGAGCATTTTGTTTGATAAAATAGCTTGTATGCACTTTCCGCACATCAAAAGGGCATTGGCCTGAAGGTGCCAGACAAGTAGGCATCATGTGCGACGTTTAAGGCGTCCGTAAATTCGCATATCAGATTCTGCCATCAACTTTTGTGAGTTAGATTGCGTACTGCACTGGGCTCCGTAGCCTGCATCGTAGCGCCATCTGAAAGATCTTTAGACTCAGATTCCCCGATATGTGCCTTTTTTACAGCTCTTACTTTTAGCATACTTCGTCTGGCCTGGGTCGGGCTGTCTTACTAAATATCAGCTCGGCAGTTCTTGCAGCGTCAAATACTATGGCCCCTCATTTATCCACCACTGGTCTTTGTTTTTTTCTCTCCCCACATCTACGCCCTGTGCATGTCTGATCCGGACACTGAATGCTGCAATTTTTGTCGACGGTATCATAGAAACCTAAAAATACGGCGCCTACCACGCTCACATGTGCCGAAATTAGTTTCGCAAAAGGATCCTTTTTTGACCGCCTACCTGCGCGCTGTGTTTCATTTCTCTTCCAATAAGGTCTCACCACCATGGGCATTGGTATTTCCGGTTCTTTTATACGCTTTTGTTCCATTGTCAAATGACTAGTAGGTGGGGGGGGAAGGAGGGTGCTGGCTGAATGCATTTGTACACCTATTGTCTGGTTGCATGGCAACTGTAACCCATTAATACTGTACCCCCTGTGCGTATGCTGCTGCTCCCTGATGATGGGTTTAAAAACGAATCCGAAACGTGGGGCGGGCAAATTACCCTTCCCACCAGACAGTCAGACAAGCGTTCCCCTCTGACTTCTGCCTCAAAGGCGACTTGGCTCTCAAGGCCTCCTTTTATGTAACTTTTATGGGCCCATTTTTTTACCGAACATCAAAGACAAACGAAATTTGCCGCCGTGGACTTGCGACACTACTCCGCTCTTATCTGTAATCGTTCAGTCTACAGTGGGCTTTACTTGGTAACCATTAGTGGGAGGGTCAGGGAAGGCAACGACTCTCTCTCTCTCACACTATTGATGTGCGCTTTCCTTCTGAGCTAACTGAAAGGAGAAAACTTACTGAGGGTCGGAGGACTTACTGAATTCTGTTAGCGACTACCTTCGCCTCCCGCCTCCTAGCAAGTTATTGTAGAAATTTGTGAAGGGGAGATGCTGTGCAACAGCAATTATCTCTTCTGGGGGCTTTTACTGCTGTTCATGATTTAGAGACTCTGTCAGGCGCAGACGCCTGAATCTGCATGTACTTGTGCGGACATTTGTCATGCACCCGGCTCCGTGCTGCTGCTGCTGCTGCTGCTGCTGCTGCTGCTGCTGCTGCTGCTGCTGCTGCTGCTGCTGCTGCTGCTGCTGCTGCTGCTGCTGCTGATGCTGCTGCTGCTGCTGCTGCTGCCGCTGCTGCTGCTGCTGCTGCTGCTGCTGCTGTGTAGCTGCATCGACTGGATGATGGCCTTTCAGATGCAGTCAGTCGACTGCAGGGACAAAACCGAGCTAGTTATCACCTCAACCGCGCAGCCAAATGTCTCCACTGTGTCCACCCACCAGGGTCACGTTCTGACGTTGTGCGGACATTCGTCATGCAGCCAGCTCCGTGCTGCTGCTGCTGCTGCTGCTGCTGCTGCTGCTGCTGCTGCTGCTGCTGCTGCTGCTGCTGCTGCTGCTGCTGCTGCTGCTGCTGCTGCTGCTGCTGCTGCTGCTGCTGCTGCTGCTGCTGCTGCTGCTGCTGCTGCTGCTGCTGCTGCTGCTGCTGCTTCTGTTTAGCCGCATCGATTGAATGATGGCAGGCGGGCAACCGTCTCCACTGTGTCCACCCGTATTTGCAATTGCCTACCAGGGCCGCGTTCTGACGAATTCACATCCTGGGCTATTTCGTCTCCAGGTTTGCACCGTGCCTGATCGGCGAATGGGTTGGCGCCTTGTGGTTCGGGCAGATTACAAACAGGTGGTGATTCGGGAGGGCCTTGTTGGAGGAACATCTTCAGAAAACTGAGCGCAAGCACCGTTGATGGAATACAGTAGATGGCTTTTTACATGAAATTGTAACCGAGATTCCGGAACGTATTTTAAGCTTTCCGAAGTGCTATCGTAGGATTGCTTATCGTGCATCATAGTCAGTTACGCGAGGACGCTGGCTTTTGAGTACGTCTCATTTCGGCCTTCTGAAAAAGCCGCACGGTAAAAATGTCTGTCTGAGTCGTATGATCTTTCCCATTCATTTCTTTGTCATTGTATGGATATCCTTTCCTGTGGGATCTTCCTGCAATTTTAGATGTAGCTGTGAGTTTCAATACAGAAAGCACACGCGAGTAGAATGCATCGGGCTTCAGGGGGAGCCGGATCGGTCGGATCTCATTTTGTAGTCGTACGTGCAGTTGATAAGCCCCAGCCTAACCCCTAACCAGTACGGCTACGACAGAAGATCTTGCCGCCGGATCTTTTAAAATTGCGCCATGCAGTAACAGAGGACCGGCGTAACGCCCGATGGAATTGAGTTAAAGATTTGATGAAAGCTTCGAAATGCCGGGTGATCCCACAAGTTGCCTCCTCCGTCTTCCACTTCTATCCACTTGCGTGGTCCCCACCTGTGTTTTCTAGGGCCGGACCTCTTTATCCGTGACCATTTTCCCGACGCATCGTTTCTTGTCGCCCTCTGTAACTGACTAAATAGTTTGTCCGGTGGGCACAAGATCGCAGATTAGTGATATCAAGGTGGACGCAGCCGTGCTCTGTAGCTCCGGTCACATCTTTCCAGCTGACTGTGCAATCATCTCCGTGCTCGCACAGCGCGAGACTGCACCCAGCTGCGACGATCGCCCCTCCGCACCGCCCTCCCCCCTCCGTTCCGTGTTCGCTTGATCTGTTTTAGACTGCGGTAGCCCCTTCTGTGGGTGGTTCGACGCCACACGCGCACCGAAGGAGGGGGGGGGGGGATTGTAGACCAAGGGCGATGTTGCGACATGCGCAGGCGGTAGTAAGAATCGGTGACCTGCGTCCTCCCCCCGTCTCCGGTCTACTTGACTCTGTCTTGACACCGCGTCCCGCTGGGGGAGGAGCGGAGAGTGCGGTGAATGCTGCGCAGGTCTACTGTCACTGCCAACTAAACCACGCGCAAGTCACCGTACCTGCTGTAGCTTGCTGTGTAGCACACGGTGGACATCGTCGGAATCAACAGTCGAACTGTCAGGAATCAGTGAGCGTGTTTCACGGGCTCGTAGCCACCCCTCCCCCATTCCTGAAGTAGTCCTTCAGACCGCATACGATACGGTTGGGCCTCAGCCATCTCATTTTCCCCACTGTTGTGCTGCCTCCGATACTTAGTCTCTTCACCCTGTGTTACCCTTAAGTAGGGGTAGAAAACTAGTATATTAGATAGAAAGGAGACTGGAATGGCCATTTCTGGCTTCCTAGCCGGCGTTAGCCAGCTATATCCAATGCCGAGGTATGCAACTCCCGTGTGTTAGGCTCCTCACTAGGCTCCTCACTAGTGGTTAAGGTCCTAAGCAGACTTCCCACAGCTTGACCGACGCATGCCGTGAGCTAGCGCTGACCTATTTTTGGCTTATCGCAGCAACTCCCATTCTGGTGGCGGGGGGGTGTGTAGCTATAAACTACCCCGACCAATGGAGGAGCGCCTTCTTGTGTCTTAACCGTACTCCACGGTTATGCCAGCATTCACAGATGATCAATGTCTTTTCAGAGTCGCTCACAGGTGCGTCTCCCGGGCCATTCCTGAAGCACGTACTCTGCTTCTTCCCACCCCCCCCCCTCCCTTGTGCGCACCATTATCAAACCAAAGCTGGGTTGCCCACCAGCATTAAATATTGCACTTCCGCCCGTTTTTTCGGCTTTCGTTTCTAATCCCCTATGCCCATTCCCTTGGCTCCCATCTGCCTACGCAGTGATAACCAGAACAGCCCGCGCACCCTGCACTCAAAGTACGCCTGCATGCGTCCGCATGAGACCTGGCGTTTCCTCTACTACACCCAGCCTCTTCTTCCCGGCAGTGGAGGGAGGGCTTTCGATGCCGCTGGGGCCGACGGGGCTCTGGCCCTTCAACAGCAACAACAGCCGCGTTCCACCAACCTGGGTCACCTCGACATCACCTGGCGGTCGAGCATGGGTGAACTGGGTCATCTGCAGACTTGCCCCT